ATATAGTCAACTATACTATGGCATGTGCATGACACGTGTTCCATGGTTTTATCTGTTTGCACGCAATGTTCACATCATAAACACGATACCTTTTGATGAAGAAAATAAGGTTTTAAGTGTAATGCCGTTTCACATGTAGATGAAATCTATCTTCCGGTGCTTCATTGATGTTGATTTCATTAATCTTTCACAACCACACTATTAAGTAGCCAGCTACACTGGTAGCACGTGCATTGCACTTGCGTCCCACTAGTATTGCATGAAAACAAGTACAGACTCTATGACTGATTCTCCTCACTTACCTTTATATATAGATCTATTCTAATAGAATTCAGTTTTCCCTCCCCCACTTCCAGGTTAATTCTTCTATTCCCTTCTAGAATAAGTGAGGTGGATTGGAGCCTATCGGATATCAAATTATATTGCCCTAAGTTTCTATGGATCAGTTAATATCTGTCTTAGTTCATGACCAAGGCACTCCTGATTCGGGGAAATCTCTGGAGTTCTAAAACGTGGTTATTTTCCTTCTGCGTCATTTGTAACTGCCTTAATCCTAGACCTAGAATTTCATCTGTTGCAGTTTTATTGGATAGCCAATTAAGATCAGATGCTATTATGCCTGTACAGTCTTTGAGAATTCAGTGAGCCAATTGTATGTTTGGTATATTGTATTACACAGTGCTATTTGATATTGTACTATTTGATCCTCCTCACTAAACACGCCTTAAATGTTTTCTGCTAGTTACAAACTGATCATCATTAGTTCAGGTTATATACTCATTCTGGAGTAATTTAGTACTCAAGAGGGGAAACATTTGCATTTCAACTACCTACATGTACCAGCCAGTTCTTTGGTGATTTCAGATTGTGCTTTTCCCGTTTCACAGTTATATTCCATGATAGGTACAATATGGTCATAAATACTAATGCTAGTGATATATGATACAGATAGAAGGAAAGACGGTCAAGGCCCAAATATGGGACACTGCAGGGCAGGAAAGGTATCGAGCTATTACAAGTGCTTACTACAGAGGAGCTGTTGGTGCACTCCTTGTTTACGACATAACCAAGAGACAAACCTTTGACAATGTCCAGAGGTGGCTTCGGGAATTGAGAGACCATGCGGACTCTAATATTGTCATCATGATGGCCGGAAACAAATCTGACCTGAACCATCTGCGAGCTGTTTCGGATCAGGATGGTCAAACTTTGGCCGAGAAGGAAGGGCTCTCTTTCCTAGAGACATCGGCACTGGAAGCACATAATGTTGAAATGGCTTTTCACACTATTTTGACAGAAATATATCATATCATTAACAAGAAGGCATTGGCAGCCCAGGAAGCAGCAGCAACCACTGTACTTCCCAGTCAGAGTACAACCATCAATGTTAGCGATTCGTCTGGAAACATGACGAGAGGCTGTTGTTCTACTTGAGTTGAGTTTCCAGTTAATGAGATGATATCTGGCAGCAAGCACAAAACTTTTGTTCCTAATTTCCCGTTTCCTTCTATTTTACCTTCCTCCAGGGCAAAAGAGTCTTGTAGAATACTTTCTTACATCAATGGGACCGGAAAACAAGCTTGTGAATGTTCAAAATGTTTAGTGGTTTAGGCTACATGTTTCTCTTTTGGAAGTGGCTGATACTGGTGATTTTGGGTCACACCCGATTAATCGTCTGAAAGAATTTAGGACAAAAGAGTTGGTATTGTAAATGTAGTAGCTCTGGATATCTTCTACTTCCTGTAATAAATAGGATTTAAGTATTTTTTAACGCTATTAGTCTACATTTTTCTTGCTTTGCTCATCATTTTTCTGAATTTTTACAATCATAAGCTTAGCATTGACACTACTTCGTATTCTTTCACTAAAATCAGGACAGCTAATTTCCCTTTGATGCATAATACAGAGTTTTTAAGTCACAGGGTTTCCGAGTTAGCATACTGGTTCAACGGGGTCTAAACTTAGAAGTTACTTTAAGAGGAACGCGTTTGCTAAAGAAAAGTAGAAGTATCATTTGATTCAAAATTTTACTTGTTGTAAGTTATCGTTACTTTTCTCTTGAGAATATTTTTGCTTCTTCTAGGGTTAGCTATGGTGGAATTTGTTTAATGTAAGATAGCTGGTATAAACTAGTGGAGAACATGGTTTCCTTTTCTTATCTACCTTTATAATTCTTAAATGCAGGAAATACGCAACACTATTGATGATGCTTTGGTCAAATATATTGCTCGAAAGGGAGCCTCTCAAAGTTGCTTGTGGCTCAAAGTGCAAACTTTCAACTGGGATGGCAGCCAAGAAAAAGGAGATTCTGCACCGTAACTCCTCCATTTTTCTCTTATATAAATACATTATCTCTACTCTGCACCATCATTTGAGAAACCGGGTATTTGACCATGTGGAAATTCAACTTGAAATACACGTTGGCAAGGAATCAATTGTGTGTTTGATATGTTGAACTCGATAACCCTGAACATGACTAAAAAAGAAAATGTTCCGTGTAGTGCTTTGCAGGATTGCTTATCGGAATGTCTCAAACCAGGTGGCATGAAGATAGTTATAGTGTGAAGAAGTGTTTAGTGTAGCTAAGTAATGAAAAGACAATTCTTACGATTATTACATGTTTTTGCTTGGTTTATTAGGAGACTTGAAATCATACAATTCTATTGCCAAAGATAACCGATTCTCTGCCTAGTGAAGCGTTCGGCAAAAATACTAGTTTAGTTAGACTAGTTATTAAATCCTAACGGCTTCAAAGCTGTTGAACGCCCATCACGTTGGGTTGGGTTACTTCTAAGGAAAAATTACACTCACACCTGGTTTTTAAATTTTATTTCAATAATCAAATGATATGAATTTTCTTTGAAAAATCAGATGCCAACTCTCATTCTACACCCACCCCACCTATTACAGAACAATTATGCTGTAGGAACAAAAAGTTTGACATAATATTGCGTGACATTTTATGATTGAACAATTTTAAACACTCTTAGCTTTTCCATCCAATCACTTTTTTTCACATGCAATTCTATCAAGCTTTCTCTCAAAACAGCTTTGTCCATTATATAAACCTTAACCCCAACCCCATTTTACTCCCAACCATCCCCACATTCCTAATCGCCCATGAACTTCGACCGCACCACTTCCCACCACCTGTCGTTGGCGAAATCTCCTCCCAAACATAATCCCCACCTTCGATTGGTCCTACAGCACCACGTGGGCTCAAAAATTTACAAGAAAAGCTTTGAGTTTGTGAATTGTGAATCTAAAAAACCATGAATCGACCACCATCAATGGACCCACCATCATAGATCCAAGCCATCGTGTCGCCACTCAATTCCACCTCTACTCCAGCCATGGGTCTTCATTAATTTGACCAGAATGTGCTTTTAATTGTTCTCTGTCTATGGTTCTGATTCTCTCTATTGAGTTGCTGTTGCCAATCGAATGAACATGATGACGATTCATTGTAGTTCGTGTTTGGATAAATTAGAGCATAACTTATATTTCGGTAATAAAAATACATGTGCAAGTAGGAATAAAGTAACAACTTACCGAAATCATGGTACGTGCATAATATGAGCAATTCATGACTTATTCAAACATAAAAAAATGTAAAAATATGAAGGAGATGAAATGAAGCGAGGTATGCAATTGCAAATCTCGTTAAGACAGATTTTCGCCCCCTGTACTGTTGCTAACAAGATCAAATAGACGTTTATATCTCAAGATACAACGCTTATTCTAAAATTAATAAAATACAATATTAATTTTGTCGAGCGAACCAACGCTTGACCATTCTCTTTTGGGTAGGAATATATCGAACACAAAGTATGGAAGGCAAAACTCACAAGTAATTTGGAAATTATTGTGACGGAATTTAGAGAACGAATTAGAAATCAATTATTAGGAATTGATTTGAAGTGAAGAAAATAGAATTAAGAGTGTCACATCTTATGGCCAAATTATAGATTTGTATGTTTCTCTTCGAATGGTCACTTCTTATGGCTAAATTAATTCCAACCATTAAATGATAAAATTTCAAAATTGATGGTCTAGATCGCACCTTATCAATGTGATGTGAACCCACGTAGCGAAGAACTACGAAACCCCTTTGTTGAAGTTGCTGAAATTCGAGCTCTGGAAGATATAAGTTCTATTTTAGAATCGCTAGGTAAAATATAAATGATTATGGAATCGTGTCGTTTAATGTAAATATAGATAATGATGAAATGTTGAGAAGAATGGTTGCAGAGGAAACAATTAATTTGGATATTGAATGAAGCTTTGCTTGTGTCGCAACGTTAAATAAAGAACAACAATTTGCATACAATATAATTATTAAGAAAAGCAGAATCTCAATCAAGGAATAGTTTGAGATGGAGAAAATAATTTTTAAAAAAAGAAAAAAAATCCGGGCAGAACACCCAGCACTGAGGCGCCCACCACACCCGTTTCCGATTTTCCGCATTTTTCTCTCATTTTTTCGTTTTGGACTCGATTTTTCGGCATTCCACTTCATCAACAACTCTATTAAGACGGTTTGGACGTCCCCTATATGTTTCCTATAAATATTAGGCTCTTCTATTAAATTTAAGAAGTGCGAGAAAATAGATCACTAGAATTATAGGATTCATTGTAATTTTCTCCCTTCTCCATTATTTTGAATCAATAAAATTTCTTAATTCCTCTGCCATATTTCTTATCTTTATTATTCTTTTGCTTGATCTAATTCATTATTTGCGATATAATTTCAACATCTCAATCCAGTGATTTATTTCACAACATGGCGAACTCAGAAACTACCAAGTCCCTCAAACGTTGACAAATTTGTTGAAAACTGGCATACATAGCACCAAGTAAAATTTCATCTATTGACAATCAAACTAAATTGCCACCCTAACACTCTTCAGGGTGAAGTTAGGTTTGCTAGATTAAAGGGCACATCAGCTTGAATAAATTTAATTAAATAAGTAAATTCAAACTATTCTTTTACCTTTGCATTAAGAATGTAAGGAATTTTTATTATAATAACAAAACAAAAAAAAAATGTTCAAATATGGTCCATTGGCATTTTGTTAAACCGTGTCAATTGCACCAGCCCAGCTAATGCAAAAATGTAATCTTACTAGTGTTCCATGCTAAGTGCAATCAGATAACTAATTCACATGACCACCCGTCTTCCTCATCTCTTCCACTTACTATACCATGTCTCAGTTTTTTTAATAAGCCAGGGCCAGAAAAGGCCATGGATGTCAACGTCACAACATCACTTGTTGTGTGCCAAAAAATGTAAAATACTAATCAAATCACATGCAATATAACTGGTTACCTATTGCTTTAGGATACAAAACGTTAATGCAGTGACAATAACTATTGTCAATAAAAAATATGACCACATATAACTACTATGTGAAAATAAGGACTTCATGTAATGAAGTGATCTCACCTGCAAACTTTGATGCTTTTGAAAAGTTTCTGAAAGGCCTTCATTAAAGCTTCTCGAGTCTCTTCTGGCATTGGCGTCCTTGAGGATGCCCCAACGATGCCCAATTTGGAGCTTTCAGAGCTACTTTACTGGAACTCATTGACGTGGCCTGATTGTTTATGACTTGGAAGAAGTCTTCGTAGCAGGTCCATTTCTTCCTCCAAAAAGAAGATCGTTTATCTTCTTTTCTAAGGATTCCCATTCTTCCTCTTGTTGCTTTGCAACCATAGGATTGAGTTTTGTGAATCTCCGACCAGGAAGCTCTCTGAGATTCCAATCACTAAAAGGAAGTTCTCTCAACAACCAGTACATTGAGGACATCTTTCATTAGTTGAGGACGTTGAGGTATTTGTGAGTTGTTAACTAGTGGATTCTTGCTAAACAAAAGAAATGAGGATATAAGTTCAACTATAAAAGTAATTCAAGAAATGAGGTGAAGCAAAAAAATTAAAATGTCCATGAACCCCAAGAACTAATGCCACACAAGCAACAAAACTACCATCTAACGATATTATCAGTGCTAAATATGATTCTAAATGTCAATTATCTGTTAAGAGAAAAAAAATACTTATGAAAACTGTATTCATGAGAAACTGAATATAAAGCGACCTCAAGTACCCAGAGAACTTTCACAAACATGTTTACTTCGGAATGCTTGTGAATAGTGATATATCAATCAAAGGAAAAAAACAGTAAACATTCAAGAATGTAGCAAAGAAATTACTAGAAA